TTTGGACATTCAACACAACCTGCAAAAGATCTTGTGCACAGGGTCTTCCTAATCACAACTGACGGTAGAGACGAATTTCCCCTCGAACCTTGTGATAGTGATGAGCAACTTGAACCAGCCAAAGTTGATTCCTATTGAGCGAAACCGATAGGCACAACAAGAGACTATTTTGCAGTCTTCAGTATAGTGAATACATGGATAGGTGACATTCGTTCTCTAGGTATCAGCAAACTGTGCTCTATGAATTTAACATTTCCCCAAGGGACCCACTTACAGTCAAAGGCAAGCTAAGATTTTCTACCGCTATGTTGAACAAGCAAACTCTTGAAATGGTTAAGTTGGTCATTAATCGATCTTTTAAACAAGACAAGAACCGAACTGGACGAATAATCGTGATAATGTACGGAAAGTTTGAATCAGAATAGACTTTTTATCTCTCTTGCTACAGTTTACTAGAGGGACTAGTATATTATGGGAATAGAAAATGGAAAAGAAAGAAAGAAACGCCAGACGGACCAGTCCAGCTCAGTCGAAGATGCTGCCCATCTATCGCGACTTCAGACGACTTTTGCATCAACCCCTCTTAACTGGAGTTTCTCGACGGTGACGCTGACCTTCTCTACCCATTGGGTTACCCAATGGTCTATATTCTATTTCTTGATAGTTTCGCGTGGCTCACGGATAAACACCGTCACTCTGTAACGCGCTAGGTCATTTTATAAGGTCCTTCATTTCGACGGTGAGTGCTCGAGAGGTACAACAATGACACCGACCATGGATCGAACCCTGGCCCCATGTTATTAGGCCTTAGACTTTTCAGGTCGATACACCACCCAGGACTCCTGTTTAAACCTTTAATAATCCTCTGTACTCATCGGTTCATACATGCATCTATTGGTAAAATGGCTTCCACAGTTCCTATCAGTGAAGTCAACCTATGGTGAAAAGCCAAGAAGCACGATTAAATGTTCAAACTACTAGCCGGGAGATTTCTTCTTAGAAACCCAGAAGTCTCGCGAGATGCGCACCAATGATGAAAAAGCTGTACAGTAACTCGGCTTTTCAGCATAGATTAGCTGTGGCGAATACTTAGATTGATTGACTCGTGGAACGTATATGTTTATGTGTTCATCCCATGTGACCTTGCCTGTTATGAACTAGTGATTTGACATCCATGTCACTTATTTGAGTACTTCTCCTCCTGTCCTCGTGCAGTTATCCCCAGGAAAGCACTAGACTCGAGCTTCGTTCCTATTGGAGCTGATTAGTAGTCGCACCAAGGTTTGAACTCCGGACGCTGGACATGCGAGGCGTCCGCTACCAGCGCACGCTGGATGCACTCGAGAGGTGAACGTGTTCACAGTTGAGTGATGTGATTAATGTTGGGTCATGTCCATACACCGATTTCCCAACCTGATGTGTTCTGTCCCCCTTTGAACCAGTCAGACAGCGTAGCAGCCTCTTCGAAGGATCGTAGATAACTTACTTCGTATTTCCACGACGTGACCTTGAAAGTAGGTATGCAATTAGGCGCACGATGACAACACAATCCACGCTTAGCAGAACTATTTCAACACATTTTGAACCAGGGACATTATAAAATGGAATCTTAAGTCTCCGTAGGTTTGTACAAGCCACTTGCAGCGGTTGACAGGCGGTGGGCGTAGGCTGGATTTGTGTGGGTAGTCCACTCTACTGATGTTTTCACATCAAAACCTCACGCCAATGTCCAAGGCTAATCAAAGCGACAGCAGTTTGTGGCGTGCTTCGTGCCAGGGTGGCACTCACACATTACTGGCCCACTTACCTGCAAGACTGGTCCACAGGCCCCTCACGATCAGCTCGCACAACAGCACCAACACACAGGTTAGCTATGGTGGACAGTGCGGGACAACGGCTCAGGTCGCACAGGTCTGATGGGTTGATCGGGACCTCGTTGTAACACACGCCTTTGGAATTTCGGCTTCATTACCAGCGCAAGAAATGACAAATCGTTAATGCGGCTTCTGTCCACCCATTTACTGTACGCGACGGTCCAATATCCATCAAATTTCATGTTGTTTGGAAAAGGCAACCAGTCAGTGGTGGGTAACAATGGAATTTGCAAAGGCCGACTGTTTAAAATTTAAAATGTATCAAAAATCTTATTTCTTCCGTGTGCTGTCATGGGAAGTGTTGAAGAAACAGTTGAAATTTCATGAATACTCGGCAACCTGGTGACCACTTGTGTGTGTGCAAAAGTAGGCTGATGAATAAAATAAATCGGTTTCTCACAAATCTTATACGACATTAATCGAAGGGATGGAGGGAGGTTGTGCAAACGGACTGAAGCATTCACGATAAATCACGTGATGTATGTTGCCAATACAGAATAACGGGGTGGTCACTTTCGACATGGATTTCATCCGAGGATCTCCGACCTCGGTATTCCTATCGTCACCAAATAAACTGACAAATGGTAGCCGGTAAGTATAGTCATGGGCCGTAAAGCATGCATCTGACAAATAATCCACCTTCATCGTGTAGCCATGGCGATTTTTGAGAGCTTTTGACGGGGCCTACATTACTTTCACCCCCCTTTTCTACTCCGCATTCAGACCAAGAAATCCTCGATAAGAATGCGCTCACCCAACAGCAACGACGGTGAACACGGCGCCAAGTCGGGCGAAGTTCGGCACGTAAAGATTGACACACAGGAACTCGAGGAGACCAATCGACCGAGAGCTATGAGTGGTAATCCCGAAGCTCTCAAGTCCATTCTGAAGATGTCCCTTGGTCTGGGGCCTCAAGTTTTAGCACCCGAGTCTACAGCGATAAGCACGGAAACTCAGAGACGGTGAGCAAATCGAATGTCATTCTCACTAGCAACTTAGATTGTCCTCTGTAACTCTGGAGATGTTAATGGAAAGAGAGGAAATTGACATCCATCCCTATGGACGAGGAGGCATCTACGAAGGCATACTGTACACCCGAAAAGAGGAAGAACCGGTTGATATGCTCGGTCTGGTTGTTTGGTTCATCTTCTTTGGGTCACTTGTGATGATGGCTGTGTCCATTATATTTGTCGCAGGTAAGCCAACGATGTAGTCTCGACGACGTAATCAATACTGTTTTTTTCTTCAGAGCTCACCTATTTCTTACACTCCGAACCAACACCGGAAACGCGCAAAGCCTTCTGTGACTTTTTCAAACATTGCAGATACCCTCCTTTGTTAGAAGGAAGCCGTTAGTGCTTTGTAGACAGGCCAATCAGTGAAGAGGGCAACGTACATGACCGCCGATCATTTACAAGTCATTTCAAAAGTAAATACTGATTACTTCGAAAAGACAAGTCTTTTTGGTCGATGACATCCTTGCTACAGGGTCTTTTATTGGATCCTAACAAGTTTGTCTATTACAGAAATCCTCGTAAAAGGGCCCGGTTGTCTTCGTCTTTTCTGCAGGGTTCATTGGACCCCGTTGAAGCAAAGCTAAAAGCAGCCTAACTCGCAGAATAGAATCCTGAGCTCTCATCAGTTATCAAAACATGATCAATATCGTTTGAGGTAAAACGTGACAACGCAGTCTTTTCTGCAGGGTTCATTGGACCCCATTGAAGCAAAGCTAAAAGCAGCCCAACTCGCAGAATAGAATCCTGAGCTCTCACACCAGTTATCAAAACATGATTAATATCGTTTGAGGTAAAACGTGACAACGCTTTAACCGAACAGACAATCCACGGAAATTCAGTTGGATGTACGCTGCTCGAGATAGCTGACTAGTTTAGGCAAGGAGGGTCCCATGCTTAGAACCCAACCACAGAATGCCGGATGCTCCTGTCTAGCAGCCTGGTAGTGTCTCACTGTTTGCGCTTTCTTTCGGTGGCATACCAGCTATGCTCCGTGTTGTGGGTCTGTTTTCTTGATGCCTTTTTACTACCGTGAATCCGAGTCGAGATAGCCGCTTGATAGCCTGATGCGCTTAACCAAACCAGAAAGCCAAGGAACGTGCGAGTCAGCTGACACTCACAGTCTCTCATACCAGGTTGGTCAGTGGCTGGAGGTCTGACGAACACAGTCTCCTGGTCTTCCAAGTTTGGCGTTGGAACATGTATGGCGACTTGTTACGGAAAAATTGCCATGCATTTGCATTTCCCGCCGAACGCCGCTACATTGAGACCGGGCCTTTGAGCCAAAGGCTTTGGTTGAGGACCCTAATCGTCCTCCTGTCTAGGTGTGGGCGCCCTGGCAGTATCACAGTCCACGTATAATCATGAGAATAGCAGCGAAGCATCAGCACTAGACAGCGGTTCTATATGCTGTTAATGCTGATGAAGCCACAAGCTCCGGAACCTTAAGGTACAGGCTGCTCGGTATGACAAGATCAGTTAGGTTAAACGGCCAGGTCTTTTTTACAGCTACAGTTTCCAAAGCGGGATCACTGTCTAGTATTTAGAATACTACCCAAGAGGTCGATGAAAACTCTGGGCAGCGTTTCGGGTTCCTGGGACAGGACTGGTCACCCTGATTTCCGCCAGTAATGTTTCGCACTTGTCGATCGTGAAGTATGAATGTTTACCAGGCGGCTATCCCAGACGGAATGAAAAGGAAAGCAAGTGCTCGCTTGGTGAGGTGAAGATGGTCAGATCGTTATCACCTGACTAAGCGAGCACTTGCTTTTTTTTCGTTCTGTCAAGGATAACCGCCTGGCAAACACTCACAATTCACGACCGACGTTCTAGCACCATTCATGCGCGCTGAAACGCTGCGAGTCGACTGGTATGACATGACTGCACTGCCATGTCTTGGTTTTTGGTACGAGTGTTCCGCATGCATGACGCTCGAAAAGAAAACATTCGAACTTCATCCCATTCAAAGCTCATCGATGGTGAAAACCAATCGGTGGGACCGTGCACATTAGCAGCGCTGTTGACTTTTCGAATTCATTATTCTTCCAGTTGGAACGGCGTAGAATAACAGAATCTGACCCCGAAACGAAGCACAGCTCATAAACAACCACCACAAAATTATATAATTCCGTAAAATTATGAAAAATTACATTACAGGTGAACGGTGAACTGCTGAATAGGGGGGAAGTTACGGGTGTGTACTGGCAAATGCAAAAAATACCGAACGCAAAAATAGGTGAGAAGAATGGCAGAGAAGTCGTGAACGACCATGGTTGTTGTGTGGGAAACCGGTAGTATCACAGATAAGTTAGAGAATTAAAAAATAGCTTCAAAAAGCTAAACTCAGTGAAGGGAGTCACCGGCCCGCTTGTCGACGGAGATATCGACCGTGTCTTCCACCGGGTAGGCCAGATAGGGGACTTTACTGATAGTCTGAAAGATGAAAAGAAGCAAAGACACTTGATTGAAAGCTACCAATGCTCAAATTCATTATTAACCAATGATAGAAGTGGTCACGTGGCTTACTCAAGTGGTAGGATCTTGGAATCTATGTGGTCAAAACTGATCATATAATTTCTAACAATGCGTGGCGACGGCGGAATAGTGAATCACATCGGTAGAGTGACCAGCATTTTATGTCAATGAGCGCAGCAAATAACAGTAGTTTCACGAAAATTCTAGAGTGGGTCAAAAATTCGTTCAAACCACGTCAAGATAGGATGACACCTTTCGAATTGGGCAGGTTGCTTAGTCTACTTATATCAGTGTGACAATAGGTCCCCTCTTAAAAATATTTCTATGACTAATAACAAAAGCGTGCGACTCACATGCTCTGGACGCCACCAACAAAGGAACTGAAGGAACAGCCAGTGGATCCATGCGAGGACGACCAGAGTGGGACCGGTTAACCCCCCTCGCTGTGACAGTCTAGAAGAGATGGCAATGAAGGATAGACGGATAGAGTAAGCTTCGCTGCTGTAATCATCAGAAAATGTCTTTTTTCAGGGTACAAGAAGCTACCGAGGCCAATCGTTTTCCTGGGGTTTGGCCACTCTCGCTGAACTCATCATTAGACACTTAGGTCAGTTGTTCACTGATACTACGCTCAAGTTTGCTGTGCCTTGCGAAGACAATGCGAGACGTCGCCATGTGTAATAACGGTATTCTACCAAGCCTAATTCGTGGTCTGAACGTCCCAAGCTAGCGTTTCTGTCGAAAACAACCAACAAAGGTGCATAACGTACATTAACGCCCAAAACCAAGTCAGGAACAGCGCGTCGGAAATTCTGGTGCCTTCTGGATGCGTCATTGGCCACCGGCATTCAGCCAACACTGAAGTGCTGCACCGGCATTCAGCCAACACTGAGTCATGATTGGCTGTGAGGTCCAGGCTTTCGACCAATCAGAGCTCACCTTGATGCCGGCAAGCGGCCTGAACTTTTGGCCAAACTTCTGCGGGATAGGTTTCACTGTCGTAGCAGCGCCTAACTGCGAGAGGTAAGGCGGGATCCTGTGGAATTCCGCCTAACACTAGGATCAGTCCCAGCTGAACTTAAGGATGAAAACTTTCCGAGATGACACTATGTTACCCCAAAATAAACGAAGATACCAGACAGTAGGGGGTCGCTGATTAGTATCCACAAGCAAATTGATGTAGCCAAAATGCATGGTTTCGAATTTAAAGAGGTCTTAACGCGGATCTACAATCCTGTTTCATAGCCTCATCTAGCAGTCAATACGGACGCATATGCCTTGAGCGCTGAAACGCAAAAAAGGTGTCATCGAAACTGCCAGTAATGCCTCAAACAGACTGATTGAAAATCGGAGGCTGGTTGGTTGCGGACTGGAGGCGATTCGAACAGACACTATGGTCGCTTTGGCAGGTTCGTTTAACTATGCAAAGCTGCAACAGGTTTGATTCCGATGCCTGACAAGGTTGGCTGGGTAAACCACAGCTGAAGAGGAAGTGAACGGAACAGAAACCAGCCCCATGAACTCACAAACCTATCGGGTTGGACTGCTGCGTAGTGTGACATAATGTATCGAAAGGTCCATTGTCCCATCCGTTGGACACGTTCAGGCTCGAGAAAAGAGGGCAAGGAAACAACTCGGTGAGCAATGTGTCACGTCTTCCAATTCGGACAATTCGACAGAGCACTTCCAGATTGAAAGAAATCCACACGAAGAACTTTGGCGCGGAACTACGAAAGTGACAATTACGAATGGATGAATGCATTTTGAACACCGCCTCGTACACAGATTAGTCTTCATCTAATTGTGGAATAACCACGATTGGAAATTATCGGAATCCATGCTTTGAGGAGCATTCTGTGCATTCGTTTCAGTGTGACCATCCACATCGGAAAGCCCTGTGTTTCGGGACAGAACTCGCGAGATGACACAACATGTAGGTCAAAACGACGAGGATAGCAGATCATCTATAACTTACTGTGCAAAGTGGATATTTCATGAGGTGTCGCTCAATTCTACATGCGCTGACGGGAAGGTTACATCCTCCACATTCCGCATTCTTGATATTACGTCAAACAGTATCGGACGAAGAAGAGATTCGATTAATGATGAACGCGCAAAACGTTTTGCCACAGCTGATATCCACTGAAGGATCCTTGAGAGATGCCACACCGATTGTTGTTGGTGTTGTCTTCCTGTTTATCGCCATCCTGAAGTAGAAGTGCGATTTATTCACACATATTCGGTTTGCTTCTCAAAGCGCGAGAAGACCCCGAGTTCAAATCGGTATGCCCAACCGGATACGGAGCAACGAGTACCCAAATACCAAGCTTTGAAACCTCTGTGAATGCGATAAAACTCAACGGACCATGTAGTGAAGACAAGGAGAAACGCTCGAATGTGTTGTTTGGTGCGAAAGACGAACAAAAAGGTTGGAAGGAGGCGAAAGACTTAGTTGCATAGAATAGACATACTTCTGAACAGTTCTTGGTACCGTCAATGAAAAGCATATTCGAAGAGCCCAATGATGTGCATTTGCGGGGATTGTATGCAAACATGCACTACTCACACGTTTTATCAGTAATATACACTGAATGTACATCTGATGGTCTCAGGCAGGAACGCTTACCGCTCTATCAGCTGCTCAAAAGTCAGTTTCTCTCTCGCGACTGCCGAGTAGTAGACCTTCTCAGTTCGTCTGGCCACTTGAGGCCAAGAATAGGCATTTTTAACCCAGTTGTGCATACGCCAAGCGCGCTCTGTGGGAGTTTCACACAGGGGTGTATTTGGGGATGAATCGGGCGAGGCATGAACTGAGGGCTGACGTAAAGAAAACGGAAGGGGTGAACAGTCAGTACTACACAGAAACAATGCAATCAGTGCTGTTCGGTGTAGGAAGGACACGAACTTGGTCTTTATCAAAGCTGATCAGCCGCTGCTCAGTTCATTAAGTTGAAACGGTGTTGAGGAATCATGCGGCTAGCTATAGGCAAGCAGAGCACAAAAACATAATGAAGCCCAGGTCCTGGATGTGAAAAGCCAGAAATCAAGCCCCTACACATTTGGGTGTCGTGAGGAGATTCGGTGAATTTTAACTGAGAATTCATCCCGAAAGTGGAGCGAAGCTGAAACATGAGGAGCAGAGTATTGACTCTTTTATTCTATTCTTCTTNTGTTTCGGTTTGCAGCTATACCACCTTTCTTGTTTTTGGCCTGAACATAACCCGCTCTTTGACCTTATCAACGCACGTGTTGTTTAAATCAATCAACACGTGGGTTACACTATTTTGTGGCCACTTTGCTTTGAGTCGGTGCGAACTTTGGGATCCTGTTAGGAATTAGTGATTCCTAAACCGGTGTGTAGAACTGTTTGAACTATTTGACTTTTGGGGTTTTGCGTGCAACTGACTGCGGGAAACAAACAGTACAGATGTTTCATCCCTACCGTCCAGAACCGTCAGGAGTGAGCACCTCACGAAGCTTCAGTGGGGAGCCTTCGACGCGCAACCTAGCACATGCAGATTAGGCGGGTGGTGAAGCAATCTAACGAACCGGGAGCAAAACAAAAAAATGCGGTCTTATTGGGTAGGTGATCGCTGTTCAGAGAGACAAGCGGTATCGTGCACCGTTCGTGAGTACCACGTGGTTGAAGAGGCTGAGCTCGTTACAAGTACAAGGTCGTTAGGCCGATGATTTACCGTACATGGAAAATGTTCACCCCAAAAAGTGTGTCGAATGAGATAGGAACTTGAATGTGGACGTTTCAGTAGGATTGCTAAAAGCCGTCTGTTTTGAAGGCTACTCTCTTTAGAGGGAGCAACTGAAGTCAAGAATGCAGTTGTGCTGGAAACAAAAACTGAACCTAGTACTGCGAAATCAATAGTTTACTTAAATGATGGCTCACTCACGTCGATGGGTGTGACCAAGGAAGTGGTTCGCGAGGAAGAAACTGTAACGCTTCGACGTTGCTGGAGTACCTCACGAATAGCTTCGGCCAGGCACTTGGCCAGATCGGATGGACGGACTGGAGCGAGTCTGACAAATTCGTCTGGGAGAACTTCGGGGACGCCACCAACCGAGGTACTGACAACTAGCAGGCTGACGGGTATGAGGATGAAAAATCACATAACTAGGAGGCATATACGACAAGGTTTTGGAAATAGGCAGATGTACGATAATTAACCGTCAAATGGAGACACACAGCTAGGTACTCAAACAATCACGATGCACGTACCGGACTATGGAAAGTTTAGCCAGAGTGACGTCGGTTATCGTCGTTGCTGACCAATCAGGTTGGGCATAAGAATATCGGTGGAAATCACAAAAGGTATGAAACAAGTTCAAAATATTAGCGACACAACTAACAATAAAAATACCAGACCATTGTGGTGCTTAATACCACCTGCACGTAACAAGCTGTCAAACTTGCGACGTAGAAGTTCTATCCATTTGTGGATCCATTTGAGTGGATCGATCGAAGACAAATGAACGACGTATTCCGTGACTTCCGTAAAGAGGCTCAGCAGAGCATCGCGTAAAAATGGATGAGCAAATATGTGCCTGCTGTTTGAAGAAATAGCCCTTGAATTGGGGCTGCAAAAACATAGTTCACATGTGCGCACCCAATTACAGCTTTAATTTTACTAGTGTAACGGTGATACTGCTGATCGGGCGGTACGCGAGTAGTATGTGTTGTTCGTAGAATTTCGCTTTGCGTCGATTGAAAAATGGAATTTTGCGGCGGAATTCGCGGGACCACTTTGTAAAATTTGCTTTTATTTCACCGACAAATGATTGGAGGCAATGAATCTCCAGGAAGACTCGTTCGGGAGAAGATCTGTGTCCAGGTTTTGTAACTAAGATGCAGATTAGAGTTTTGCTTCCTTGTTCAATGGTCTGTAACCCGTCAGTTGGCATTTCCAAATAAAACTCCGCAGGAAGGCCTTCTTCCTTTCACCAGTATTTATTCGGAAGACGGCAAAGCTGTAAGTATATGCTTCCGTAACGCCGGATACTACTGATGAGGCATGTGAGTAGCCTGTGGTCTTGTCGAAATTCCGCCCTGCGTCTAACGGAAGGGGAAGTTTATTACGGAACTGTTTTTCTGTGTTCGTTTACAATCGCATGAGAGTCAATGAGTATCCACGAAGATTCAAGAAGACGCGCGAGAATATGCAGTTTTGAAAATACTATGTGAAAATGAGAAGTTTGCTTTCCTGTCCAATTGTTTGTAACTGATTGGTTGAAGTTTGCCAACCGATGGCTTCACGCCGAACGGGATTCCCTCCATACATCAGTATTTACAGTCAATATCGCACACAGAACTTTGTAGTTTGAAGGTATCATCATATGCGGTGATCTGCTGAAGATCTAGTCTAAAGGACAGTGTTTCGCCCCTGTTGGAGTTGGCCTTAGCTCAGGGGAATTACTGTATAGCATGAGATGTTTTGTGTAAGCAACCAGTGGATACCGAAGCAAGTCGTGCCTTACCAGCAGCGGTGCCATTTGCTTTTCAAACGAGTGTCATCAATTCATATGGTCTATGTTGTACACGTGCGAACAAAGTCGCACCCTCTAGACTAACCAACATTGCACAAATACAGATGGAATCCATGTTGTACACGTGCGCCAACCAACATTGCACAAATACAGATGGAATCGACCCTTGTTGTAGCGTAGTTCCGCGAAGTTTGGTGCTGGAGAGCAGCAGAGAAGGGCTCTCAACAGGCTTCTCGTATGACCGCCTAATGCAAACAACCTAGGTCAATATGGGGGGATATTTGCTGGCATCTAGTCCAAGGTAGTCTAAGGAATGAGAGCGATAGAGCAAAGAGGCGGTGACCAAAGAGTCGCTTGCACTCACCCACAAGAAACCGCTTCCAACAACGCGATGCAAAATGCTTCGGTCAGGGAGGTGTTTAGGAATATATCACCTTGGATGAGAACCTGTGGGACAGACCGAAAGGGAAGTTTGAAATACCAAAGTCAATGCGTCGGCAATGGGATCGAGCGGGTACAGAGGATGTGCACTTGGAAGTGACTTACTCCGCGAACATCCGAGGGCTTCAAACTGCCAAGCAGCTTGACACGCGAGTGTAAATGGTGTCGTTCGCGCACCTCTTCCAAATCAAGGCGCTTCGGTCCATCGCCACCTAGGCAAATACAGGTAGAAAAGAAACACGGATTTACACGTTCGAAAGGAAACATGCGTCTCACCGGGGGGGGGGGGGAATATCACTGCTACTACAACAGAGAGAGAGAGAGAGATACAGAAAACTTACCAATTAGAAATCGGACCTCAGGGAATAGGGTGCACAATGGGGGAATAATGGCGACCAGAAGATCGATGCCTTTACGATAAACCAGGCGGCTGACGATGACCACAGTGACTGCAAGTCGAAAGGGATGTGGAGGGGGGGGAGGGTGAACACAAACGTAGGAGAAAAAGACGTTTCGGAGAAAATATGCGTGGCTATCTTGGCCAACATTCGCAACACTGTTTCATGGGGAGAAATTCAAGGCTGAAAGACGTAACTACGTCAATTTGAACGGTCCCTTCCCCCACAGAAATTCGTTGGAACAGAGCTTATCGCCCTGTTCAACCATTGGTCAGAAGGCTGCGGGTTCGGAACTCTTTGACTTTGTGAGATGCTCACTGCTGGCGATTCCCAACAAGGATGAAACAGCTGTATGGTGCTCCTCAACTTTTCAGTAAAGATTGGTTTATCAAACAACTGCCGCGCAAGGACTTCTCCGAGACGTTAGAATGCAAACCCAGAGAAATGGCTAAATAATGCAGGACGATATGCGCACCAAAAGTGGTAGACCTGGGCATATATTACTAAATTATATATATATATATATACTACTAAATTACTTACATTGATTGGAACAATGCTGGCATTGTTTACATTAAATTGTTAATCGTTGCAAACGTTCCGTCACCAACTGACGGGACATCAGCAGTGCGTGGTGAGCTGGTGGTACGCAGGGGTGTCCACCCGAATTGCTCAACTCAGCAAACAGAACAGTGAACGGAAGAGCGACCATCTATACAGCCTGAGCCG